TTATAACATGTTAATGTGTATTCAAAAATAGAATGATCTATATATATATCTAATGGCCGGAGGTTATTCCCTTTATATATTATCTAGCGTACTAAATATTTCATTAATGCTATTTATAGACTAAACTGTAGAGCCACTAGCATATATGGGTTAAGAACATATATCAATTCAAAAATTTACTTCCTTTATTGAAATAACAAGAAAAGTTTTCACGTAATAAATCAATTTTTTGATATGTTGAAATAATTGAAAATTATTAAAAGTTTTTAGGGTTCCGTATCTGAAAGACAAAAAAAGGAAACACTTATAAGATAACTTTATTGTCCGTCAGTCTGTCTGTCAAGACCCTTTATCTTGGAAATGCGTGGAGCTATCGAATTGAAATTAAAGCCATACCGTGCTGGCAACTCTTACTTTTGGGTTGGTATTTACATGTGTGGGAAGTAAATAACATAGGAATCTTATTAACACGGAGTGAGAGAAATGCAACGGTGTGCTGTTGCGGCGTTGCCACATTTCTCTGGTACGCCTTTCCCTATCAAGTAAAGTAAAATCACTATGGTAAACCGATTATTTTTAACAGATTTTTTTTTCAAACAGATAACTAGATAAAATTAGATATGCTTCTGAGCATCTGAAATGGAATTATAAGGATATCGTTAAGGTGTCTATTTTTTTATAACGAGAAAACATCAGTAATCGCGATAATTTAAAAACTCAACTTTTTAACACATAACACGCGATAACTCAAGAACCACTTTGGATATTGAAACTATTTTTTATTTTGAAGTTCAGGATCTTTTACAAGATGTTTAAATAAGAAGAATTGGATAGGCTTGTTTTTTTTTCAAAAACCCATCCATTTACTTTTAGTGCATAGCAATTTTCAGCAATCGTGTAACTTTGTTATTTATAAAGATTTTCACATACTGCCTTGGAAGAAAATATAGCAGAAATATTAAGAAAGTTTTTGAAAAAACTATACTCAATTATTTCTAATGGATTTCGAGATATCGATTTTTGACTGTCAAACACCAACTCATTTCCACTTATTTTTACCAAACGTACAAGTGTTTCTAATCTGCACTTAAAAATTTACAAGCTATAGGGAAAATTACAATGACTCGTTAACAAATTAAGTACCACAAGACGTAATTAAATCGGGAAGCTGAACGTATGATATACACCCACCTTTACCTAGAATTTTAAGTACTGATTGGGTCGACCGGTCGACCGCGACGAATCTGCTATATCCCCTTCCATGTCTCTTAGCAATCTTCACAGTTTCTCGATTTATTTCATACGTTTGGCAACGTTATTACTGTTCTCTCTTTGTTCAGTACATTATAAACGCATTGTACTTTTCTTACATACGGAAATCTCAACCCAAAACTAACCTTTACCAGCCCTTAGTATACTGAAGTCTACAGTCCTTTGAAGCTGTGAAAAAATAAAACTTCTAAGTTAACGTAAAAAAAGATACAGTGGTTTATGCCGTAAAAAACGTATATTTCGACGCTCTCAAGGGAATCAAAATTTATAGGGTATTTTCCGTTGACCTCGAACTATGAAATATGGCAAGTAATACCTTCTTATACTACCAAGTATAGGAAAAAATCTAAAAACTATACATTTGTACTTAAATCAAAAAATTTAGTCTTTTTTAAAGTACGTAATCAATGATCGAGGTTAACCAACGGTATGAGGGGTGAATTTAGATTTTTTTATCAATCTCGTCATAGGGATGACTGATTGACCAGATAATCTGGAATGATTGAGACCAATCGATTTGACAGTTGCAGTCATTTGTTCTTTACATTTTTGTTTACATTTTGATTCAAGCATTTTCTATACAGGGTTGTTCACCACATACGACACGGAGTATTGTAGCTAAACGATTAGATTTTTACAAATTGTAAGTTTTGGGTTCGTTGAAGGACTATTAGAGCTACAATTTAAAAATATTTTTACAAGATTTGTGGTCGCACGCGAAACAGTGAAGTCGAGACCGGAGTGCCCCGCCAAGTGACCAGCTGCCAGCCGCCGATCGTCGCCGTACTGTACAAGGTAAGCACCCACCGCCGAAGTGATCGAGGGTAGGTCGTATTATTTTTGTTGTTATTAGCGTTTACTCTACCTACTACCTGGGCGCGTTATAGGGATAAGGGAGTTAGTCGCCGGGATTGTTAGGATATTAAAAGCGCGGGAGAGCAACAATTGCCGACCAGGCGAAAGAGGGAATACCCAGTGCTAGAGCAGGTCGCCAGGAATCGTGGCTCTTCGGAGTTCTGTCTGACATCTGCTCAAGTACGACGTATCCTTCGGTTGCGGAGACGAGAGTCCTTAGTTACTTTATTGACATTAAAAGCGCGGGAGAACAACCATTGCCGACCAGGCGAAAGAGGGAATACTCAGTGCTACGGCAGGTCGCCAGGAATCGTGGCTCTTCGGACTTCTGTCTGACATCTGCTCAAGTACGACGTATTCTTCGGTTACGGAGACGAGAGTCCTTAGTTTCCTTTATTGACATTAAAATCACCTGGGTTGCCGACCAGGCAAAAGAGGGACTACGTGGTGCTAGGGCAGGTCGCCAGGAATCGTGGCTCTTCGGAGTTCTGTCTGACATCTCCTCCGGTAAAACGTACCTCTCGGGAAAAACTAATTAAGGGTTAATGATTAATTGTTTTCTTAAGGGACAGCCAGGGTAGTTCAGTAAACGCACGGGTCGCGAATATTTATGGGGCTAGAATAGAATATCGCCCAAATCCCGAGGCTGGTTTTGTCGCTCCCGTATTTCTCTAGGTGTGCCGTCCGGACGGCATCCTGCAACAGTGACGCTGGACGGGATCTCGCCGAAATCCCGAGGCTGTCCTGACCGGGCGGTGTGTGTACGGGCTGCGCTTATCCGAACGGCGTACAACTCGCCGAGACGCCGCTAACGTCAACGTCACTCCGGGACTCGCGTCTGTATCCAACGGGACGCTGTTAACTTCGCGATCGATCCAGGACTCGCGTTTGTGTATCCCACGGGACGCTGTTAACTTCGCGATCGATCCAGGACTCGCGTTTGTGTATCCCACGGGACGCTGTTAACTCCGCGATCAATCCAGGACTCGCGTTTGTGTATCCCACGGGACGCTGTCAACTTCGCGATCGATCCAGGACACGCGTTTGTGCATCCAACGGGACGCCGTTAACTTCGCGATCGATCCAGAACTCGGGTGTGTGTCACGGGACGCTTTTAACTCCGACACCGATCCGGGGTCCATATTTCGCTGTCAAAAAGGACACCGCTCCGATAAATACGTTGCTGTGACCATCGGGACGCCTGTAACGACGTCGCCGCCGTTTAGAGAGTCGCGTCGTGGTAGAGTGTTTTGCTCCGGTACCTACGTGTCTATGTCCAATGGGACACCGCTAAATCCGACGCCGATCTGGAACTTGCGTCGTCGTGTCTAATAGAACGTCACTTCGGGAACGTGTCTTGAGTTCGCGTGATAGAATCAGTCAGAGAGTTACGTATTGGGGAATAATCGATCAGAACTCTAGAGGTACACGGTTGTTATTGTAAATTTTGCTTTACGAGGTTCTAAACATTTATTTTATTTTATTATTGTTGCAATTCGAGAGCGTAAACTTTCTTTGATTGTTTTTTGTACATGATTAATTTGTTAAATAAAGACCTAGTGTTGCGTTATAGTTAATTGTGTGTTTTATTTTCTTTTCATCTCATCACTCCCTGGTATCTCCACTGTATAAAAGCTACCCGTACTGGCACTAGTAGTCTCTCAAACACTTTAAACTTTGGGGGTGGCGCCCGAGGTACCGAACCAAGGCAACTCGGCGTCCGTGAGCGTTCTCAAAAACGGAGAGACCCTCACAAATTACATTAATTGACTGTTTGCGTTTATTAATAATAATTGCTCCAAATACTAAAAAACTTAATTTTTTATATGTTTTAGACAGTTTTAGGTGGTAAAAAGTAACACCTCAAAAATGATATTTCATTTTTTAACAAATGCTTATTTATAACAACAGAGACATTCATTTTTATAACTTATTATTATATTGATTTTTGATTCAAATCCACATTTATTTAGAATAATTTATTAACGAGCATAATTAAGTATCTAATTAATTAGTATTTGGGCGGAAATAATGAAGATTTAAATAGTTTTCTTTTTGCATACAAATGGGCTAGTAATATTATCATTTTGTTAAAAACGATAATATTACTAGTCTGTACATTTTGTACATTTGTTGCTTTAAAAACAATCTAAAATGTCAATATTCCATAGGTATATATGAGGTCTAAATTATAAGAAAATGCATTTTCTACGAAAACTTGAAGGGATAGGTAAAAAGTGATATAATACAATTTGATAGACAATTAAATTATGCATGTGATTCTCCTAAAATGTACAGGGCGTTCCATTTAAATTAAACAAGTTAGTGCCGTTTATACCTAGTAATTATTTAAAATAAAATTTTAGACACTCTGTATGAGGTAGTATTATTTTTATTATTGCAACACAATAACTGATTAATAAATAAACTTCAGTAAATATTTAGTATTTAAAACTTTGATATCCTTGGAGAAATGAAGCCTTAAAACTTTTACTGCAATTTCACAAAATTGAAAATATTTCAAAAAACGGTAAGGTTTAAGTGTAATAAACCTTAATCAAATTTGCCTTTATTTTAATCGTAGAAACTAAAAATGTAATAATATACAGGGTGTTCCATTTAAAAAAATACAACTTTGATATTTTTTATTTATTTGGGAGTCTGCAGTCTGTATCTTGTAAAAATATTTTTAAATTGTAGCTCCAATAATCCTTCAACGAACCCAAAACTTATAATTTGTAAAAATCTGATCATGTAGCTACAATACTTCGTGTCGTATGTGGTGAATAACCCTGTATATTGCAATATCTTTCTATATTTGAATATGCTTTTTCAAATTAAGTTTCAAATCAGTATTTTATAACAATCATTACCTCCGAAAACTAAAAAGTACTTTCGATATAGAATCAGCTCTCTGCGAAGTACCCTTGCTTTCATCCCCATCACTTTTCTTCTCAGTACTGTGACTGCGATTCTTGAAAGCAGCCCTTTTGGCAGCTGCGGTCAGTACTGTGTCCGAAAATTCTGCAGCGCTATGTGCTCTTCTACGAATCTTTTTGCGTTTGTTGCTCGATCTTGAAGTACGCTCTTGGTACCATCGTTCGTGACCAATCACTGGAGATTCTTTTTCGTCCTGTTCTTTCTTGTTTATCGATTGGTACAAGTTAAACATGGTGTATTTCCGGAATGGAGATTTTATGAGGAAGTTGGTAATTATTGACTCAAAGTTAAATGTTTTTTTAAGCATAAATTTACACTGAAAGTACCACTCGCTTAAAAACCTTATAGGTATAAAATTAATTTTATATTTTTTGTGTTGATCTATACAGGGTGCTACAAATTCGAGGTACGAGCATTGGTAACTCGGCAACCGTAATAGATACGAACATGGTTAAATTGGGGCAAAGTTGCGCTTTGGGATGTTCACTAAAATGCCATCAAAAAAGTTTTAAAAATATCAAGGATTGCCGAGTTTTTGGAAAAAAAACGGATATTTTTGAAAATCAATTTTATTTTTTCCTGTCGTTACTATTTAGAAAATCAAAAAACTAATTACACATTCTCATAGCCACTTTATTAGGGCTCTCTGATAGTATTTTTAAATTTTCAAATCAGCTGATAATTTGTGAGATACAAAGGCCAACTTAATTTTTTTAAATACGGACCTGCATTTTTTACTTTAGATCTTGAAAGAAACGCTTTTCTGAGTACAATGATATGCCACACTTAATATTTTTGTTTTGTTTTGGAAATTTGGACACAATTTATTTATACTAATTTCAAGTCCGGCTCTGTTTTTTTTTAATATTTAATATATTCATCGTTCCAATATTGATAAGCTTTCAAACTTAACAGTGACGTGGGTTGAATACGGAAAATCAAATGCAATAAAATAATAAAAAATAATATATATAACATGTAATATAAACAATCAAATCATTTCCCCGGAAGATGGATTGGAAATGGTAGAGCAGTATAATGGCAAGCGAGGTTCCTGGACCGTCTGATGACGTCAAGTAATTCGACAGGTCCAAATTTTACAAAAAAGTGAAATCAATGTGAAATCATCTCGGCAGTTGCAATAAAGAGTACAAAATGCATTCGAAAGTATAAGAAGTTCTCTATTCAAAAGCTATAAATAAAATTGAACAAAAAATAAATTTGTGCAATAGGGAGGGTGGTAACCCTTCCGAACATGTAGACTATGTAAAGCTTTAGAAACTAATTTGTAGAAGTTAATTTATTCATAATAACTACGATAAATATTATGTAAATTATTAGATCGCACACTGAGAATTTCAAATTCACAATAAGAAAAATTAAAAATAATATCTTTAAATTGCTGATCTGGATATTATTTATTTGAATCTTTCAATTGGCTCAATTTTCCTTATTCAATTTTAATTAGCACTGATCAAAATTGTTGCGATGAATATAATCATATTAAACAGTTTAAAAAACACAGTCGAGGTTGAAATTTTTTAAATAATAATTAAATAGTTTTGTTGTTGTTCCCGGTACCCAAAACAAAAAAAGTATAAAGTGTGGCATATCATTGTACTCAGGAGACTGAGTTCTTTCAAAATCTGAAATAAAAAATGCAGGTCCGTATTTAAAAAAATTAAGTTGGCCTCTGTATCTCACAAATTATCAGCTAATTTGAAAATCTAAAAATACTATTAGATAGTCCTAATAAAGTGGCAGAATGTGGCAATTAGTTTTTTGATTTTCTAAAAAGTAACGACAGAAAAAAATAAAATTAGTTTTCAAAAAAATCCCTTTTTTCCAAAAAACTCAGCAATTCTTGAAATTTTTAAAACTTTTTTGATGATATCTTGGTGAACAGCCCAAGGCGCAACTTTGCCCCAATTTAATCATCTTCGTATCTATTACGGTTTCCGAGATACCAATGCTCGTACCTCGAATTTGTAGCACCCTGTATACACTCAGATGCAGAAAAAACGCAATGGAGAAATGTTTCGTCAAATTTAACATGTTTTTTGTAAATGTTCTATTTTTATAAATTTTTTAGCAAACTGTAATATATAAATATATCACCTATAATACGTAAACTCAAAAAAGCTTTAGTTTTTGGCTTATTGTACAGGGTTAATCGAGGGGTTGTTTTTTCCCTTAAATTTAAAACACTCTGTGCAATAATTTTGTAAAATTACATATATATTCTAATACAGGGTCGCTTTTATGTATGTCAATGTACCTCATACCAACAACCGTTTCCGACGCGACGGTTTCCGAGTTATATTGACTTTTAAAAATATCACTTAAACAATTTGATTTAATTAATTTCGATATGTTCAGTTTCATTTAACGATGCCATTCTGCCGAAACTGTTATACTTAATAATATTTGACATTAGTTCTCAAGTTAGCATTTATAGATGTATAAAATAAGAGTATAGTAAATCTGGAAATGTCAAAATTTTCGTTGAACATTTTAATTCTACAATTTATGTACAGGGTGTCGCACTAAGAATAGCTCTCGACTGTATCTCGGAAAGTATTAGCCGTAGGGGCTGCGGAAAAAAAAAATATAACTAAAAAGGCTATGGGAAATTGCTGGAAATTATTTTAAAGTTTGTAGAACAACCGCTAGGGGGCCTAACTGTAACAAAAATAAGAAAATGGAGTTTTTACACAATTTTGCCTAGATAAGGTATACTATAAGTAATAGCTTCATAATCTTCAGTAAATTTTGAATATTTTTTGATCAAGCCATTTTCCCCTATCTACCAAAATAAAGTGGTGGGGGAAGGTTAGATCTGTTTTTATTTAAATATTAATAACTCTGGACTGGGTGATCGGAATCCAACAAGCGAGGGATCGTTTAAAAGAGCGTTTCTTACTCTATATTGTACCATATAAACAATAATATTAAGCTTTTGAACGTAGACGCTAGGGGGCGTTGTCTTACAATTTAACAAATATTGCGCGTTTTTTCAA